TTTAACTTCTACAAACTGCCCAGTAGGAACCATTGATGATGACATTATCTCCTACCAGATGTCTGGTCCAAATGGAGGGACGTGACAGTCCCTGTGGTACCCCCGGCTGCAGACTGTGCAGATCTTCGATGCACTGGCTGATCCACAGGCGGCGCAAGAAATGACCTCCAAGGACAGCGGAGACTGAGGCTCTGTGAAGTCCTCTGTGACCTCAGAGGAGTTATCAGTGACAGCCTCTAAGGATTCTTCTTCACTGGACTGGAAGACAGCAGAACAACAAGCATGAAATGACCCAATCAGAGGGACAACTATGGCTTCTTTAGATTTATCATAATGATGAATGGACCTGAGCATTCTCCTCCACCTCCTGCAGATAAAGCTCATCTTCTTTGCTACCGATGAAATGGTACCGAGGTGGGGGACGTCCATGTCCAGGAAGGGACAGGGGAAGTCTCAGCAGAGACACCGTGGGCTGCCACTGGAGCTGGCTGTAGTCCTGCCGGTCAGTCCTGGAGCTCGGTGGCTCTTTGCCTTCTCCATCTGATGCTTCAGAAGAAGACAGCTTCAGGCCAAGTTCAGGTTCTTCAGACAAGGCCAAGGACAGCTGGTCTTCAGAAGGTACCGGTGAGGCTAGCTCACTGAAAACATCCATCGGTTTGAATCGTGACGTGCACGGTTTGACTTCATAAACATCAGGAGATGACACCTCTTCAGGTTCATTTGCAAGGACGGTGACCTCATCATCTGAATCTCCAGGGGAAACCGGTTTCATGAATGTTGGCCTTTTTTCACAACTCGATCTGACCTCGTAAACATCGGGTAGAAACTCATATTCTGAGGAATCATCTTCCTCAGACAAGACAATGGTGACTTCTTCCGAAGTTCTATGGGATGTTTTTTCAGACTTTGGGGTTTCTGTATAACCTGCTACAGGTTCAGAGTCCTCGGACAACACGGTGACAAGCTTCTGGTCTGTGGTTCCAGGTGTTAATGAATTAAAGGAAGACTGGGATTCTTTGGTTTTGGTTGGATCTAAATTGAGGTTTTCAGATGAAGACTGCTCTACCACAGGGTCCGCTTTTTCTAATGAATCTGCTACTTGTCGGCTCTCTGGTGTTTCACTGGATACGGGTCTCTGGTTCTGTCTGTTTTCATCAGTTGTCCCATTACGGGTCAGATCAGACCCACCGGTGATCAATTTGCTTGCTTCTGGTCCCTGCTGTCCATCTCTGGGACAGACCTTGTGGTTGGGGGCAGGGTTCTCCTTGAAGTCAGGATTCTGCTGCCGGTTGTTCAGGTTGAGAGAAACAGGTCCAACTCTAGAGGCGAGGTGTTGGTCTGAGAGGTGCTGGTTGCTTGAGTCAGGACAGATTTCTGGAGCTGGAAGACTCCGCCCAACAGAGGGAAGTAATTGAGGACTAACAAGAACTGAAGCATCCTTTGAACTCCCACAGCCTTCCCCAACTGTAAGAGTGCTGCTCTGAAGCCCTGGAAGTTGGGTCAAGTCAGAGGAAAGTCTGATATTGGAGTCAAACACCGGGTACAGGGAGTTTGAGTTGGTCAACAGCAGTACATGAGACTGGTTCTGAGTGGGAACAACTTGTTGGTTCAGGGTCAGTATTGGCTGGACCGCGCTGATGGGAGCGTTAGATAGTAAAGGAGTCGTCACCAGAGGTACTGAGCTTATTGGCTGAACACTGGCAGACTGAGCTGCGGTAGAAATCACCTGGGGCAAGATGAGATAACTGGAAGATGTAGAGCAGGTTAAAGACGGAAGGAGAGAAATGGAGGTTGAAGGCCGGATGAGGGTAGAAGCCTTGCCAGTTGTTAAAAGCATGGGAATGGTTGCTGGATGGACGACGGGTGAAGGTTGGCTGACAGTTGGTGGATGGCCCACGGTTGGTGGATGGCCCACGGTTGGTGGATGGCCCACGGTTGGTGG